GCCCAGGAGTCTGGTGCACCGCTGGCAGAAGACATAGGTAGGACTCGTGTTAAGGTGGTACTGTCTGCCGGACTGGGTGGCTGATGCCATAGAGAGGACCCATTAAGCTTGCTTCTACCCGCAGTTCCCAGACTCTCCTCAGTCTTGTTCTCCCATTATGTGCTTGGCCTTCAGACCTGCCCAGACCCTGCAGGAAAACCTAGCGCAGGGGTGGGGAAGAGACTAGGAAAGACCGCCTGGGGCTTGACAGGCTCAGATCCACCTAGAAACCCAGTGCAGCCCAGTGCTGGACTGAGACAGATGGCCTCGAAATCAGTTAGGAGCAGGTGGGACAACACTTTCCAGTCACAGCTTATTCGGTACCACCCAGGGCTCAGCTCCAGAACTTTCTATCCAACTCTACTTTTCCACTTAGGAGGAACAAGACAACCTAAACACTTGATTTTCTCTCCAACCTCTAATAGATGGAACTTGGCCTTCCCTTCCAGCTGCTTTATGTGATTTTCATGATAATCTGTTTGGGGTCACAAACAAAATACAGACAGATCACTGTGTTTCCTTAGCTTGGTGAGAAAACTCCTTCACTAGTGAATGGCCTGGTCCATGTGAAGATGTCACCCAAAGGTCTGGGAACCCAAGACACACAGTTGGTCAGCATAGCCTGACCCCATTCAGAACTCAGTAAAAGGCAAGTAAAGGCTTTTTGTTGAAAGTAGCCAAGAGCATCCCTATGTTAGCCTGTGGAAAATGACAGTTTGTGTTTTCTAGGGTTTTAATTTCTAAATCTGGATTTAAAATGAAGGTGGAAAGAAGTCAGCTGACAATTCATGTGAGAATGAAACCATTTGTCACAAGCATATTAGCCGCGGGTAGATTACATTTGCCATCTGCATCACAAGGAAGCCCATCCCCGCAGATGTACGGGCCAGTTTCACTCCAAGAAGTTTACAGATTGCAAAGCCCTTTCCTGTCCACATGACAGCTTCCATCTCTCATGTGTTCATGACCAAATGAGTGACTCTAGGTCATGTCAAGGACACAAGGACTGAGAGAAGGCTCTGCTGACTTCCTAACCCTTGACCTTCCTAGTCTCTCTACCCACCCTGAGGGCAATCAAACCAGACAATCTGAAAACCATTGATTATAGATGTAGCAAATAAGTAAATTGAAAGGAATCAAAGATACAGTTTCAGCAATTTTACTAACCACTGGTTTATTTGTAAACATCCTGGAACAGCAGAGAGAAAAACAGCTGGCATGGTGGTGCATGCCTGTCATTTCAGCACTCCGGGAGGCTGAGGCAGGAGAATCAAAAGTTAAAGCACAGGGCCGGGGATTTAGCACAGTGGTGCCACTGCCTGCCTCGCAAGCGCAAGGTCCCGAGTTCGATCCCCAGTACCCCCCCCAAAAAAGTTAAAGCTGAACAATTTAGCAAGATCCTGTCCAAAAATAAACGGGGGAGGGCTATGGATGGAGCTCAATGTGAAGGCCCTAGGTTCAGTCCTCAATACTGCAAAAGAAGAGGACGAAGGAGAAGAGAAGAAGAATTATCAGAAGTAATAGCATGCTGGCCATTTTATGTAGAACTATCCTTATATGTCGGTGCATGACAGTAAATATATAAAAGAAAATTCCTACAGTAATACGTGTGAGCAGGTAAACAAGAAGTATGAATTCCTCCTCACCCTTCTGCTGTACATGGTTGTCTAATAGTTTAATCCTTGCAACAATTTATTTATTTAATTGGTGTTATCATACTTAATTTACAGATGAGAAAAACTGAAGCTTAGAGGAGTTAGATTGACCAGTTTATCCAGCTAGCAAGTGAAGACTTGGGTATGAACCAGTGTCTGTCTGAAAAGCCCACGAGTTTACCTTGGCATACACACACACACACACACACACACACACACACACACACAGCCATTCCCCACTAAGCCTGGTTTACCAATACAAGCACTTGGGGAGCTTGTCAGAACCGTCACAAACCCCCCTCCTATTTTTGGATCCAGCCCAGAGGCGCATAGACCAAGCCTGCCACCTAGAGGCTGCCCTGCGGGCTGCAGGGTACAGGAACCAGGCCCATTGTATTGCCCGGCGTCAGGATGCAAGTCCCGGGAGGCTGTTAGAGAAGCACCACTCCCGCTTGCTCTCGGCCAGCTCCCTGCTGGGCCCTTCGTGGCAGGCGAGGCCGACCCCCACACCCCACGGAAAGGAAAGATTACCACAGCCAAACACAAGAGGGAGTCTTTATCTTTGCAAAAATGAAAACCAAGAAAGGAAGGCATTGTCCTCTTGTATTATTGTCTCTCCCTACTCCACCCCTAAAATAATCCAGGTCTTTATTTTGCATTTGAGGTCCATTTGGGTATGACTTGCAAAGGTAATTTCCACTCATTTTCCTGTTTTTGAATAAAGAAAAGTCCTGTTCGGAGCTTCTGATAGCATATAAATTAAAGATATGGAGGTATCTCATTGACATTCTACAGATGTGCTGATCCTACCCTAGGATTTCTCTCATCAAAAGGTTTCTCTTGTAGTGCCAGTGCTGACTTATTAATAAAGATCATGCCTTTATTTGATTATTTATCTAATCAAGATTCACCTTCGGTTGAGCTAATTAAGCCTGCTGCTAACAGGGTGTGCTTGATGGTGAAATTACACCTGAGGGAGACAGAGGATGTACCCAGAAGTTAGAGGTGAGAAACAAAGATGGGGTGTCCCATAAGCCCACGTCACCCCACAAGTAAAGCATGTGAACTCTGCCAATCAGACAGAAGGGCATATATTAGAAAGGTTAGTTTTGTAGAGTAAGGGCTGAACATTATAATTAAATACACTCGATAATAGAGCAACAAAAATGACAAGTACTCAAATTCAAGAAAATGCGAGACTAATACCCAATTTTCTGTGCATTGCGTTGGGGCAGCCTTTCTAAGTGGCTTTTATGTGAACTTCTGACTTGAACTCAGGAGGTTGGTGGTCAAGGTGCCCTAGCCCGGGCCCCGGTGACTTGCATTTAACATGTTTGCCTCACTTACTGGTCTCCTGAACTGGGTGTAAACAACCAGTGCAGTCACATTTCTCCTAGATCTTACAGAAACCAACAACTAAATCATCTTATTCTTACCTTATGGGCGGCTGCTGGGTTCAGCTCCTCAAGACAAAGCCATGTCTGAAGGCCTCTTGTCCCACAAGTAGGAAATTCCACTTTTTGTTGGGCTAAGAAACCTCTTGCTGCCAGAGAACCACAGTGAGAGTAACCTGCGAACAGCAGAGCTAAGCCATTGGCCAAGGCTAGAGTGCCCCTTCCTAGAAAACGCAGCAGCTCAGACTTGGAGTTGTAGTGGGCTAAATTATTTATCCAGTTGGATAAGAGAGAAAGCAGCCAAGAGCTTCCTGAGTTTATAGCCTCTGTCCCTGGATTCACACTGAGACAGGAAGCAGGCCAGACTCCATCAGCAAAGAAGAAAAAAGCTTTCCCACAAACTCCTCTCCCATCACCTCTGATGCCTGGCATAAGCCCCAACCAGGTGCAAGTAAGCTGTTCCCATCTACCTCCTGTGGCAGGCCCTTTGACAAACAAGGTGCACCTGAAAGTGGCCTCTGCCCTCAGTGAGCTTACAGTACACCCACTTAGACAGACAGGGAAACACATGGAAAGTTAAATTTCTCATTCATTCATTTATTCATTCAGATACCCAATGTGCCAGACACTGTGCTCAGGACTGGGGAGCAGGTCCAGTGAGCAAGAAAAGAAAACAGATGATGATAAAAATACCATCTAGCTAATGCAATGGTGGGCAATGGGTGTTAAATAGCGATAAAAGAAGAAATGCTATGAGACAGTATGCAATTAGTTCTCAGCAAGTGACACGTAGGGTAAAATCCATGAGATCATAGTACTTCCTAGGTTTGGTTTCAATGTTGCTGTAAACAACATACCCAGCACCAGTCACCACCCCACGTGCGGTGGCTCTTCTAGGACTCCTCTCCCGGGAAGAGAGCTGGTGTAGGGTGTAGCTGAGGCCAGCACTTTCCCATCTTTTTCATCAGTAGTGTGGACCCAGTCGTGTGGGCCTGGGTGGAGTGGGGTGCAGGGGAGAAGGAATGTCCCTTCTTGTGGGGAATTCACCAGTCTCAGGGGCCGTCTTTCCAGTCCAGAAAGATGACTGTCACTCGGGAGACTTTTCGTCATAGGATTTAGGAGGGGAGAATGAAAATAAAAACAAAAACAAAAATCATATGCAAACTTATGTTTTTTACAGTGAATTGGGAAGTCTTTTACAAATGCTTTTCCCAAGGAGGGCTGTACTTAGTTATAATTCTGTAAATATTACTTCTGTTACTTGCTATCATCTCTAGACTTCTGAATCTAATTTGTATCCCTTTTAAGCAACCTGTCATTTTGTCCTCTGTTCTATATTTGCATACATGGCCTGTTTCATCTCATGCATTTCTTAAGGGCAGGAAACAAGCCTTTTGCATCTTTTAAAACTGCTTGTCACTTAGCACTTAAGTGCCTTGTACATAATGGGCTCTTTATGAGTATCTGTCAGAAGAACTGTATTATCCAAAAATGTGGGATGCACTGGGCATTTGGGTTTAGGGCCCTCCTTTAAGCCCAAACCTGAAATTTATAAAGAACAGCCCTTTCCTCATTGAGAAATATCCATGCAACTGAGGAGGAGAAGGAGAGAGTAGCTTGATGAGGGATAGGAAAGATCCATCCTTAGCTAGCTAGATCACCGCAATCACTACTGACAAAAGAGCAGAGATGTCCAAGGCAGGTTACACTCAGGTTCAGGTGGATCTTGCTGTCAAGGGAACGCTCTTGGTGCAAACCAGCACTGGATGTGTTGAATCTAAGGCCCATGGTGTAGCATTGAGCAAGAAAGAGAAGCCCCATAAACCAGTCCTACACCCTGTGCCAGGAGGGTGCTGTCCACACTGGAGTTTCAGTTCCTGACCATCTCCTGTCTATGTTTTGCTCCCTGTAGGTGGAATTGGCTGTGTAGGGCGAGACAGAGGCCAGGTTCGGAAATGCCTCGATGTGGTGGAGATCTACAATCTGGATGGGGACTTCTGGCGAGAGGGCCCACCTTTGCCAAGTCCCCTTCTCTCTCTCCGAACCAATTCCACCAACGCAGGGACAGTGGATGGGAAGCTATATGTCTGCGGGGGATTCCACGGAGCAGGTACTGGCCAGTTCAAAGTGTTTGGAAACCTCTCTGGGGGTTGATTTTGACCTCTCTTCACTGGTCCGATCACCAGTGAAGTATAAGCACTGGCAAAAGCATGGCTTTTTAGGCTTTTTTAAGAGCAGCTCAGCAGATCTCTGCTCCTGGGCCTCTCCTCCACCATATGCAGTGATAGCATCCCCAGCTGTTGGAAGGACTCTGTGGACGCTAGTTTAGGACACGTCTGCCCACAGCAGACCCTCGATACACAGCAGTTGGATATAGGAGAAACGGAAGAATAGGAGAAATGGGGCTGGGAAACAAATGTGAGGAATAGGACTAAAGGAAGGATTTCAAAACAGGCAGAACACATGGAAGCAAAGGAATCACCAGACACACTGGGCTATATGTCTATCTTTATTGAAGGCTCTCATACTACCTCAGCACCACCACTTGAAGTCAATTGCTTGACAGAGTTTCTAAAACCATCCCCAGTGTGTGTATTTGATACTGAGCTTGGTTCTGTGTATCTAAGTGGACCATCACCACATTCTACAGTATAGATTCATAATTTTAACATAACAGGGAGGTTTTAGATATGCATAAATCTGGTAGGCCAGTGTCTCCAAAGTTTGATTCATTGTATCAGTAAATAAGGCAAAATGCTGTTATTTTTAAATGACTGTTTCTCACCTCATTAATGAAAGCATTAGACCAGTGCATACCATGCAATACAGGCCTGCAGGCACTTCACATTTGGAAGAATGCTGGATTAAAACACCTGCTAGCCAGGTGTGATGGTGCATGCCTGTGAGCCCAGCACTCAGAAGTCTGAGGCAGGAGGATCATTGTGAATTTGAGGCCAGCCTAGATTACACAACAAGACCCTGTCTCAAAAACCAATCAATCAATCAATAAATAAATCACGGCTGGTGCTGCAGCAGAGCAGAGCCTCCTGCAGGCCTGCTGCCCTTTTATAAGGACACAATTATATGCAACTTCAAGAGTAGGGTTTGGGGGCAAAGGACACAGCTCAGTGGTAGAGCGTTTGCTTGGCATTGTGCAAGGCCCTGGGTTCAACTCCCAGCCCTGCCAAAAACAAATAATAATAAGGTATCCATTATGAATTCAAACAGACTTCCAAGACATATAAATCAGATTAATAAACAGACTTTATTTTGTTCTTGATTCAAACAAATCTTCTGTAAAAAAGATATTTTTTCAGATAATCTGGGAAATTTGAGTATAGACCATGGTGTCAAATGATATCAAATAATTGTTAAGTTTATTATAGATAATAATGGTATTGCACTTTTATGTAAGTGAAAGAAACTTCTGATCAGGGCTGGGGATTTAGCTCAGTGGCACCGCGCCTGCCTTGCAAGCACAAGGTCTTGAGTTCGATCTCCGGTACTGGAAAAAAAGAAAGAAAGAAAATTCTGACCAATTAGACACTGTTCAGAAGTATTTGAGGTAAAAATGATATGCCATCTGGACTCTGTTTTAATCTACTCTGTCTAGCAAAATTTTTTAATGAAAGAAGGGACAAGAATAGATTTTACTATATTGGTAAATGTTGATAATTGTCAAAGCAAGGTAATGGTCCTAGAGACTATTATTTTTGCTTTTCTTTTCTTTTTGGTTTTTTGAGATAAGAGTCTCAATATGTAGTTGAGGCTGGCCTTGAACTTGTGGCGATTCTCCTGCCTCGGCCTCCTGAGTGCTGGGATTACAGGTGTGCACCACCACATCCATTTCCTACTTTTGCTGTTTTACTACTGGGTGCTTGAAATTTTCCACAATAAAGAGCTTGACTTTCTCTCTGTGTGTCCTTCAGAAGACTTTCCAAAGAGGCTTTCACTATCCTTTCCATCTTGAGCATCACACACCATGCTCAAGTAAAGATTGTGTTCCATCAGGGTAGCAAGAAACCTACCAAGTGCAGGGCCTGTCTCTAAGAAGGAGTGAAGAGAGGGAACTGTCATCCAGCAGCTCTCTTCTCCACCTCTGATCCCAAGAACTCCTCCCCATCCCCTGGGCTTTGGCTTTCTCTGGCCCAGAAAGGAAGTGCGGAGACTACAAGTGGCAGCCTCAGGCCTTCCAGAGGGAATGGGTAGAAATGAGTCTAAGGATCTAGCAGACATTCTGTTTTTCCTTCTTTACCTTACTTTACTTTGTATAATATTGAGTTACAGAGTTGATATCCCCCAGGTTTTCCAAGATGTATAATAAACTCATTCTGAGCCAAACTCCTTTCTTGGTACCATAATGGACTGATAATGCTTCCCGTAGGAGGGAAAGGGATTTACTACTGAGCCTACAAAGTCTATTTTAATTATTTGGCTCTAGGAGGGTAGATTGTGTGGGACTTGCTGGGTGAATTGTCACTAGGATGCAAAGTAGAACAACCATGTGACAACTTGCCTGGTGTGACCTCACCCTCAGGTCTCAGCCTCAGACCTGAGCAGGCTCTGAATCCTTTCTCCTTGCCTGGCAGTAAATAAACAAGACCTTTTTGCCCCATTTCCTTCTCAGAAAACCACAGACAAGGAATCAAACTCTTCTAATATAGTTAGTCAGTTCAACCAAAGGTTATTGAAATCTATCATGGCCAGGCATTTGGAATACTATCTCAAGATATTCAACATTTAATGGGAAAGTACATAAACATGTGATAAATACAGTAATTTTTTAATTAAAATAATCAGTTTTTTAAACTAAAATATTTGGTTTAACATCTTTATCTTACCTCAAGCCCCCTAAGAATACAGGTAATGGAATAAGCACAGTTAGTCAAAGAGAAGAAGAGGGAGGACAAGAACAGAATTTGGACACTGGAGAGCAGATGAATGGGTAGAACTAACTAGACCTGAAAAAGTTTAATCTGAAAGTGGCAATGAGAAAAGAAAAAATCCTAGAAACCTAATTTGTACCTCAGAAGTTTGTTATCTCAGGAGTTGGCAAGGACGGGTAACTATAGAGGACGGAATGAAGATGATGCTGAAGATTGGCTGGAAGACAAGAAGACACCTGTCGCCTGCCCTAAACTCGGCCGTGAGACCAAATCCTTCCTTCCCTTGGGCGGAGGCTACAGGGGAGGATGGAGCTGAGGCCAGGCATCCAGCACTGAAAACGGGATTCAGTGAGAGACTGCACACTGACTCTTGAGAGCCCCAACTTTCTTCCCTTCTGGGGAATGTGTGGAGGTACATAGGCAGCCATAGCCTCTAGGCCTCAAAATAAGCCCCAACCAGATCACTCTGCAGTGAATCTCAAAAGCAACTTCTCTGGTGAGGTGGTGTGGTATCCACTCTTACAGACAAGCAAGCAGCTAAGGGTCACTAGACATTTGAACAAAGTGTGTATGCATATAAAAGACAGAAATCAAAGCAGTAAAAGCAATCTAGGGGAAACAGACTGTACCACAAGAAGAAAGATCCTCAGAGAGATAAGAGTCAGTGCTGTGCCAGGAGAACTTCCCAGAAAGCAGAGCAAAAACAATTAGATGGAAAAGTGCAGAAGAGAAATCAAGCCTAGGAGGCCCAAGATTTGAATAATAGAAACTCTGGCAATAGAAAGCAGAGAAAACAACTGGGCATGGTGCCTGTAATCCCAGCACTTGGGAGGCTGAGGCAAAAGGATCGTCATGAGTTCCAGGCCATCCTGGGTGACCTAGTGAGTTCAAAGCCAGCCTGAACTACACCGTGAGACCTTGTCTCAGAGAGAGAGAGAGAGAAAGGCTTCACCAAAAATGAGCATGTGCTGCAAGAAAGAGTAGATGTGGAAAACAGGACCAAATATCATAGATAGGGAAGGAAATCCCTGGGAAGATACTGAGAGAGAACCCAATAATGATGGCCACCCAGGTCCAAAGAGCAACCTGTACAGAGCAGAGCTCATCAAAAGGCTGTGGGAGCAATGTCTTCGAGGAGACTGAACCTTCATGTTTTGAAAAAGGGTTACACATTTGCAGAAGAGCAGTGAAAACTAACAAAAACTTTAGAGCAAATGCCAATGCAGGAAAGGAAAAGTATGCCATGCAGCTCACCTATGAGGAGCATTTATAACAGTGATGACAGCATTGAGCTAAGCAGAACTATGCCTTAACTGTACTGGAAAAATGGGGAGACAGAAAGCAGGCAGGTGTGGTGGGGACCAGAGGAAAAGCTAAATCCACAATTCCCGAAGAGTGAGTCTTCAGTGCCTTTGTCTTGGTCTGTTTTCTGTTGCTGTAACAAAGTAACTGAAGCTAGGAACTCATAAAGAAAAGAGGTATGTGTAGCTCAGGTTTCAGAGGCTGAAAGCCCAAGGTCAGGTGGCCCCATCTGTCTGGCTCTGTGGGGCCCCCTTGGCCACACCCCACCATGCCAGATGACATTGAGGTGGCTGTGAGTGCAAGGGGGAAGTCACATAGCCATACAGGAAGCCTGGGGGTGCAGGAGCCAGACTGGCTGTTGTAGAGTAGCCTGCTCTCTCTGGAACCACCCAGGGTCCTGAGAGCTGCTTCCATCCTTTCTGAGGGCAGTGACCTAATTACCCTCCATAGGCCCCACCTTCTAAAGGGCCCTCCACCTCCCAGGACCAGAGCTACTGCCTGGGGACCAGTTTGCCAGCACACAGAACGTAGAAGATGGACTCAAATCAGATCCACCCTCATCTGAGAAGTCGAGAAGTAGCAGTGGTGTTTTTAAGAATGTTATTAGCAGCTCTAGTGGTCAAGGCTAGAGGAGTCAGACAGAGTAGAAAGAGAAGTGGTAAATGGGGGCAACATATTTTTCAATACCAGGAATTGAACTTAGGACCTTGTGCTTTCGAGGCAGGCGCCAGAACCACTGAGCTAAATCCCTGGCCCTGGGGGCAACATTTTTAATGAATAAAACTTACAGAGTTACTTGACAGTAAGTCATGTGAATGGGTAACTGATGAAAAACTATACTTAAAACACACAAGTATGATCTGTATCAGTGATAGTGGCCCTTTTAGAACTTTCAATAACAAACATCCTGTTGTGGCACTTG